TTATTTTTATGACGATGGGAACTATTCCCAATTAAATAGAAAATTGTGCACCAAAACTTAACCATCATAAAGTAACAAAATGGCTTAAGTTGCAAGTTTTTACTAGTATTGCGTTCAATAACTTTTTCTGAAAATTTTCTCTATCTCTCAAGTTTACTCTCTATTTTTCTTTTATGCTCTCGCTGCATGTACGTAGTGGAAAAGTTATTTAATGGACCTAATGTAACTTCGTGACAAATTCACACCTTGTAAATTGCCTAATTGTTCGACATTTTCGGCCGAAGGTAAAAAATCAGCCGAATAGACCGACTACCGAAACCAGGCCGAACCTTCGGTCGGACAATAGGTAGTATTAGAGACCTGCACGTGTGATTCCGGCATGGTATGAGTACGAGTACTAGTAATCTTTTCATGAATAAAGCGATGCCTTTTTGAAATCGTATAATCGTTCACACGATGCTGATTCTCAGAGCATCAGACGATTAGTATTTTGGGTCACGTGGGAAAAAAGTTAAGCGAACTGCAAAAAATACACATGTATGAGATATCGCCATTAATAATGAAATAAATCAAAAGATTTAATAATTTTCCGGCTAAAGAAAAAATAAATTAATTTTAAGAACAATCTTTTATTTTAAGAAACATTTTAACATATTTAAGAACAACTATTTATTAAATTTTATAGTTCATATTTTATAAAAGAGAATTGTGGTGAGAACGTACGTCAAATAAAATTGCATCCAAGCTTTAGCTTTCTAAATATATTCTTCAGTCCTATATAAATGTGCTATTTCAGACGTGCAGGAGTTTATAATTTGTTTAAAGCTTTTCCATACGTCACGGAAATCTGTTGCTTCAATCGCGAAATATTCGCGCGATTTTATTTTATCTAGCACTTCTGTTTTGCCGTGCAATTTTTCTTTCTAATGCGTACACGTTTCAATAAATTTTTAAGTTTTGTCGTTTTGACACATAAGTATTTCAAATCGAACTTCGCTCATCGTAAACGTCTCATATGAAAATGATGATATGATGATGAAAAAATATCCGTTTGCTACCAAGCCAAACGATGCTTTCTAAATTCAAATATTTGCATCGTTTATATTTATACTCGGCGATTATTAACGTGTTAAATTTTTACTTACTCGTGCAGGTCTCTAGTATGGTATGTATATGCATTGTCTGTATGCGTGTGTATTATCCTCTAAGTTAATATTCTGGAAATGTATGCAAAGTGACATTATAGTTTGCTTCCAAAGGTCGTATACAATATTTCACCCTGTAGGTATCAACTTATGCGGATATTAATTTTTTTGCTGTTAACTCACATACATATGTAGATAATTTTATCCAAATCTTCTACATTTTGTTTGTATCGAACAGTGGTGGTCGAACAGACGAAACGATTGCAATTTATTAATTTGTTTTTGATTTTTACACAAAGAGCGTCAAGTATTATTGAAACACAGTTCGATTCTTTGGTTTGCTCTTGGAAAAAATCATGAATTATTTCAATAAATGGATTGGAAGAGGTGGGCCAACACCATGGCCGGCGCAGAGTTCCGCCGATGGATTTTCACGTGTGGGGTCAAACGAAATGCCTCGTATACTACCAGGAAATGTCTCCGATCGATAATGTGCATTAGCGTGGGCCGAAAATCCGTTTTTTTTTTAGAAGTTTGATTGGTGATAGCAAAAATATGGTTCATTATGCTCTAAACACAATTGTGTGAAAGATGAAAATTTTTGGTCAAAATCTTAGGCTCACCCAAGTCCATCATAGTTCAAGTGTAAACAAAAAAAATTCTTAGCTTACTTCGATTCTCTACAAAAAAGGTTCATATACCAAATTATGTTAGACTTATACTATCGAAGATACCTGCAATTTAAGAAAAAAAAAATGTATTAATTAATGTATATATTAATTTTTATTTTTGAACACATTGAACTATGATGGACTTGGGCTGAGACAAAAGATACTTGTCGTGGCTGACGAAATTAGGCAGCATCTACATACGGACGAAACTCATTTTTTAACTGAATAGAAAAAAGCGGACCTTGAATTAATATTTAAAAACCATGTGGCCGTACAAGCAAAATAAAATATATATATTTTTTTTAATAATCTTTAACACTCATGTGATCGGGTACTCTGACCTTACATAAGTGGTCGGCATAGGTACAAATGTACCAATATAGGATTTGTATGAAAAAAAGTTCTTCATGTACAACTCTGTACTTTTTTGTGTGTTGGTGAGTGTATGTGCCCTGCAGTAAAATTTACAGACAGTCTGTTAAAGCGCTGGTTCCGCCCTATACATTTCAGAACTATCTCTGAACTAGTGCAAAACGGCTGCAGAGAGGGGCAATTGAAACTTTTGGTGTGCTAGTTCCGCCCTGTTGAGAAGTACATAACTGCACAAATTGTCACTTCTTGTACAATACTAAATAGCTCAGCTGGAAGACCTCCGACTCTAATATCGTTGGCCGCGAGTTCAAATCGCGGTGGAGGCAGTTGCGATTTTCAGATTTAATAAATTTAAATTGTTGAGTGCCGCTTACAAATTGAAGAGAAAGTGATCAAATTTAATATAAATAAAATTAAAGAATAATAAAATTAAATAAAATGCAATCTGTAAAAAGAACAGAAAAAATTAACAATATATAAAAAAAATCGAATAATCAAAATTTTTTTCATAAAAAACTTATTGTTACAGATCTGTCCAAAAATTTAAGTAGTTTTAAATTTTTTGCTCATAAAAAACGTATTGTCCCAGAACGGTCGAAAATGGAACCAGTTCAGAACTAGTTCGAAGGTTCTGCAAAGGTGGCAATTTCCACTTCGTTGGACATCGCCATTGCCGTTGAAAGCGTTGCGTTGGGACAGATCGAGAACCAGTACCGCCTCTCAATTAACTCGTTCTGCGCTAGTTCTGAACTAGCGCGATTCACTGTAGGGTGGGTGCATTTGTGTATGAGTATGAATTCATGTATCTGTATGTGTGTTAGATATTCTAATTCAAAAGTTGGTAAAAGCAAACTACATATTTAGGCCGACAAAAACAAGGTACTGGTTATATTTATTCAGCACTTACAGGTCTATTCTGTGCTGGTAAAAAAAAGTTTGTAACCGGTAAATAAAGTTCCTGTAAATTTTTAAACCCTTTTCGCATTCTGTATACTCTTGTATCCGGTAAATTTTGTTACCATCTCATAAGCTGGTAACAAGTATTGCCCCGTGAAATATGAATGCCAGAATTTGCACAATTCTTCATAGCTGAATTGCTGAATACTTTAACTGCATTACCAACGTACCTAGAATCGCGGTGACAAGAACTGGTAACATTTTTTATAATAAAATTTTCCGGTTACAAAATCTTCGGTAACGTGCAGAATAGACCTGTTAATGGAGATCAATAATAGGGTGGTTGACTCGGTATTTCAAAACCAGTTTCCACCGGTTTGTTGGATATCTATGGGGGTTCGTTTGAAATCTTTTNAAAACCAGTTTCCACCGGTTTGTTGGATATCTATGGGGGTTCGTTTGAAATCTTTTTATTTCGAATATCAAATAAACCGGTTCTTTTTTTATTTCATTCACATCTTGACCTCCCAATAAAAGTTTAGCGTTTTTCGAAGTTTGCAAGGCTTTTTCCAGTTTAAGGGAACCCCTAAATACATAGTTTTAAAATTATATCTTAGTTTATTTGGGGATGTACAGTATATCATCATATGATTCCAATAAATTAATGTGCGGCGCTAAACCGACACAAATGGAGGAATCTACACGTATACTCCACCTCCCAAGAAGCGTTTTTCGGCGGGGTTCGTCATTGTCTGCCGAGGAGCGACCGGTATTTGTTTTGACGTTGCTGGGACCAGAAATTGAACCATAGATCTCCCGTGCCAGTAGGACCTCTAAGCACTCGAATATGGCGACAAGAGCTCTATTCAAAGCTGACAAGAAAGTCAGAAAAAAATTAAACAAAGTATTAAAGTTAAAATAAGACCATATCTGAAATTTTCATTTGTGGTGTTGTACTACGTGATTCATCTCGCGTTTGTGAAAACCACTTCACGGAAAGTGATTTCATTAATTGTTCGTCCGAATCAAGCACTTTCAAATGAGCTCGTTTATACCCAGGCGCAGTCCCAATGCCATACGAAATTACTGATACAAGTGAGGTTATAGTACGAGATCAGGATACATTCTTTGTTGATGTCCAAACTCAAACAGGCGACTCTTTAGAATGCACGTTGAGATTAGAAATATTTCTTCTTACCGAAATAATTAAAACCATGCAAGCAAGTATGGAAGAGTTTAATTTAAAAGTGCTCGAAGCAAAGTCATTAATGGAAAACTATTTCGCATGAAAAAAATTTAATTTCAAAATTGTTAAAGTTAAGCTCACATATAAAATTGGAAACAAATTTAAAATCCTACTTTTATAAGTGTCGAATAATGTTTAGGATAAAAAATTTATATATAAAAATAAACGCACAAAAGCATAAAACTTGGGCAATTAAAAACTAGAAAATTGCTAAAACTATTTTATAAACAATTTGTTTTATTTTATTCACAAAATATAAATATTCCAGGTATTGTAAGTAAAACAAAACTATAATCGAAATAAAAGCCTAGGGCATCAGTGCTGACAAGATACATGGCAGCTAAGGGTTAATTCGTTTGTTTATACTTTTTGACATTATAGTACCTTAAAAGAGAGAAGCACTGAATTTTCAATCACACCTTGTTTAATACACCTTGGTTCTAATGAACTTATATATAAGTATTTTTGGTTTCTCTTTTATTCACATGCTCGCATTTTTTATTATGAAAAAAAAATAAAAATTTGCGGAAGAGCAACAGTAAAAAAAATTGGCGAAATCAACGGTGATTTGTAGCTGCTGCCAACTTGTACATTTATTTACTAAAATCGACTATGCTATAAAATTACATACTCCAGAAAATTCTTATATTAACTTATTTCAATTGAAAAATAATTAAATGAAAGAAAAATAGCGCAGAAAAAACGCGAAAAAGGTTTATCGCTATTCAAGTCCATGATAGTGGTGCATAAGCCAGAGTCTTGAAGCAAAATAATGTGCCCGTTCAAGTGAAACGGTGTGTATATTAGAGTCCGAAGCATGCGTCATTCTAACTAAAAGACATGTCGTGCAACATGTTGGTAAGGGCATAATGCAAATACTACATCTAGTGCATACCTCTACAAATGCAAGCAGGTATGTATACATATGTGTGTATATGTATATATGTGTTTTGAGGTGAATGTATATGTGTTATTATGTCACAGCCTGAATGCAGCATTAAGGCAATATTTGCTACAGTTAAGTTTAAAAATCATCTACTTGGCTTAGTTACTCCCTACTACAGTGCATGGCTGTGGGTTAGTTTAAACGCTTGAGCTTGCTAGTTTAAACTAAGATTAGCCAATCAAATATCAGCCATATGTTCAATATAAACGCAGTTTACGAGTTTAAACTGGCACTTAAAAACTGGCCCATATGGCAGATGCTCAATTGTGATCGATGAAGTTCGTCAGAGGAATCCCCTCTTTCAAAAAGAGGTTTCTGACAATAATTAATTGAAAGTATGATTTAGTACATACATAGGTGTAGGATGCATAGAACTTAAAAAGATAGTGCATTTGACTAGATAATATGTAAATAGTTTCTAAAATTATTGCTATTGCCCTGCTCCGGTGCAAAATGTGTTTGATGTTACACTCAACCCAGTAAAAGGGCATGTTCATGCCTTCTAGTCCTTGTCTAGCTCACGCATTTCATAATATTGTCGTTTTAAATAACCAACTGATTTTCAGGGCAACCATCTCCCCTGACAAAGCTTCACAGCGCTGAGAATATGCTTCTTTGTCTTAGAAGAGTATGACATTTTAACAAACGAAGACAAAATTTTGTCACCCTTTGCCTTTGATTTAGAATCGAACACGGAAAGAGAAATGAGCAATCAAAAGACGATATTTTTTGGTTGAAACGAAATCACCACAATTTTACGAATTTATTACAAAACTAAAAATATTTGACGAACTATCAGCAATATACGTATGTATGTTCGCATAAGGATCATCAAGATGAGAAAAATTTCTATACATATAAAATAATGCAGTTCTCACACAACCATGAGTGAATGCATGTAAATATACATTCATATATGCATATATATGTATGCAGAAAGGTTTCCAGTGTTGCCAAACATGGACTTTTCCTACCAAAACTGGTCGGTTTTTTCCATTTGGTAGGTTGGTAGGCTAGATTGGATTTTGGTTGGTTCCGTGACAATAATAGTTATTTGCGAAAAATATAAAATATAAAATATGTATATCCAAACATTTTACCATTGTCCACCTGACAGAGACTTCATTGTATTGGTCTTTTAATACGGTAGTAAGACCCATTGTCACATGTGCGGTACAGGGCTGGTGACCAAAAGCTATGCAAGTAAAGGCGGGTTCTACCTTTAGCAAGCTGCACCGACTGGTCCGCGTGGGCCATTACAGGAGCTGTGGGCACCTGTCCAACGGATGATCTTGGTGTCATTACAGGGATTCCTCTTTTGCCTATTCTGTTTGAAAAAGAGGCCTGCTGGAGAGCTGTACGACTGCTTAATATGATCAGTAAAACAAAATTTGGGATCTTCGGGGTCATTTGGAGATTCTAAAGCCATTCCTGGATAATCCCGAGCTATCCTTCAACAAACCCTACAAGGTTAGAATTCCTGAAAGGGACTGCTGTGAAGTGATAATAACTATGATTGGCGAAAGGTCCCAAGCATGGTATACCGACGCATCAAAGATGGACGACGAGAGTACTGGGGCAGGCGTATTTGGACAAAAATTCCAGATAGTCTGCCAATTTACACATACCCATCTATATTCCAGGCGAAAGTCTTCGCAATCGAAGTCTGTGTAGAAGGACAAATGGGGCCAAATTAAATATTATGTACGATAGTCAGGCAGGTTAAAGGCCTTAGACGCTTTTAAAATGGCAGCAGGCTTGTGGAAAGCTGTAAAACTTTTTTGAACCACTTGGAAGCTCACAATAACTTAACAATGTGGTGGGTTCCGGGACATGAAGGGTTTGAAGGCAACGAAGCTGACTGTCTCGCAAAGCGTGGATCCCACGTGACATAAATAGCAGACTGCTACACTTTGGGGAACGATTGTCTTCTTCATCTAAAATTTTAAAGATGGCGCCTTCCAAAGTGCCTAACTTCTTAAAGAGAATAAGGTTGGAGTGATTACAATTATACAATTGTATTAGTCTGTACAGTAAAATGAATTGTTATGCGTAGTTTATTCGTTTTTATTATACTAGTTGTGTTTTATTTTTTCTAGTGTTATGTTATCTACACTTTTAATTTTGGTAGGAAGTTTTGGTTGGAACAAAATTTCTCCGTGGCAACACTGAAAGTTTCATTGCCTGTCTATATGTACGCATACTTTTAGAGTCAGAAGACAGAGTGAATGTGAGAATTTAATGGGCAGAAAATAACAAATCGCATTGTTGGAACAATCAACCCACGAGTACGGGTATCGTGACGGAAAGTCGTCTATATACATACATACGTATATAGTTAATTACTTAGACACATACTAACGTAGGTATACTTATTCAAATATATAAACTAAATTTGAATTTGTATACATATTTGAGCGTATTTGTGCCATGTGCCTCACCTACTCGCCACAGAGAGTTCGGAGCAGATTTAAAGGCACGTCACCTTTGAGATATTTTCAGTTGAAATTGTGCAGTGGTGGCGATTGTTTCGGGTTTTTCTCAGTTCGAAACGTACAATTTATTCGAGGAAGAACAGTGATAAATGTGATTTTGGCGCCACACCTAAAGCACCAGTAGTGCACTGGGTTTCTTTGTTTAACGGAAAATAATTTAATCTACTAAACTAATAAATATTTTAGTAGCAAACTAAAAATAATAAATTCTCACAAAACATTACTTGAGTGAAAAATTGTTAATAATAAAATATATTAATCGAAAATTAGCAGTGAAAAGGTAATAAACATAAGTATGTTAAAATGAATAGAACACGATTTAAAAATATTAGAGTTTGGGCGTTGATATTTGAATATATAATTTTCTAGAGGGTGACAAATTAAAAGCAGATGCAGCAGTGTGGCCTGATTGTGGGGGAAATACAAATATAAATAAAACAATTAACAAAAGAATGGGTGGAAGAAAAATGTTTTGCGTGGTAACCGGTCGGAAGCGAATATATGTATGTACATACATACATAAAATAAAAATAAAAATAAATAAATAGTTCAGAAATAAACGAAAAGCGAAAATAAATGACATAAAATTTGGCACACATAGTACTTGCATACGTAATTAGTAAACTATTGCATGAAAGCTGTGTAAACAAAAGTTTTTGTAAAAGTAATATGGCGTTTGTAGATCAAAAAAATAAAAATACAATGTCAAGGTATTTATAAAGGTTTGAAAAAAGAAAGTGAATAAATGATGAAAATCGAAAAGTAATTTAAATAATTTTTTTTTGTGACAAAACGCATATTGCGGTTTTGGGTATCAATGGTTTCAAAAGTCTTTTTTCAGCAAGTAATTTAAAGAAGTGCGTTTAAATAATCTCTAAATATGTTCATAGAAAGAAAAATTTTTTTTCTTAATTAAAAGAAAACCTCACTAAATTTTTAAATGCAAACAAAACTAAGTAAAAAAATCGTTTCAACAAGTAAATTTTAAGCAAAAAACACAAAAATTTAGGAGTACCGTTGACTTCTTCATTATCCGATGATCGGATCTAAACCAAATATGTATGGGACTACATTAGAGGTATCACCTTTCCGATAAAAACAATTATAGAAAACGGGTCACATCCTCTTTTTAACCGACTTTCAAAAAAGGAGAAGGTTATCAGTTCGTCGGAATCTTTTTTTTTTTTTTTTTATGTATGTTACCGCATAACTTTGGACCACGTCAACCGATAGAAGATTCAAAATCTGTCCTAGATATCGTGTAAAAGTTTGAAGTCGTTTTCAAACTGATTTCAAAACAAGTAATTTTTAGCAAAAAAAAACCGACTTCAACTCTCATATAAAAAATAATATATATATATATATCTCATGATCCACTGATCTTATCTTAACCAGATTACCTCTGAGACACTACCTTTCCGATGAATTATCGAAATCGGTTGACGTGGTCCAAAGTTATGCGGTTATGCATACATAAAAAAAAAAAAAAAAAAAAATATTCCGACGAACTGATAACCTCCTCCTTTTTTGGAAGTCGGTTAAAAAATTACCGGTAATCGCAGCTTGTGTGTACAAAGTATGTAGTATTTTTTCTATGAAATTATAAGTTTTAAAAAATTTGATTCGAAGAAGATTTTTGTTTCAACATTTGAGTAATGTCAATTACAAACCTTCGTTGCTCAAGTTTTATTCCCATATTTGGATCATTACTTGAATGTGAGGTTTGTCAATCACAAAAAACTACTAAAAAATATTCAGAACATCTTGCCAAAAAAAAAAATCTTAAGTTGGTCCCTAGTAGGTTTCTGCCAAATGGGACAAGATTTTAAAAAATACTGGCCAGATGACTATCGAACATCGACAGACGATTTCATTGCTGAATTTACCATGTGGCGCAGGTGTACCTTCTTTTTTCTCTTCAAAAATTGATGTTTAATAACCGTCTTTCTTCCTGGTACTGGTCTATCGTTCTTAAAGAATAGCTACCTGAGACTGTTATTGACACCTTGTGTAAGTCTTTATCCGAAAATTTTTGTTTATTTGAAAATAGGTGCAACAATGCCAGTATCTTAGGTTTGTTCCACAAGCTACTTGTAGAAAAACTCGAGCAAAGTTCAAACTGTCAGCGTATATCAAATAAACTCTAAAACTTACTTGTGAAACGCGTATGTGTAACTCGAAGTGACTTCGAGTAGCTTGTGGAACAAACCTATTATTTATTAAAAAAAATTTGAATGTCAAGTAGAACAAAAATTATTCCAAAGCAAAAAAAGTGTAAACACTTCGTCAGTTTTTCCTTTTTAAATATACATATACATACATTCATTGCAAACCAAAGTTCCAGAAAGCTTAACGAAATCTTTAGGAGTATCTCATTTCTGTAACGATTTTTTTACGAATCTTCAAAGAAAATTATATGAAGTGGTTGACACGAACTCGTAAAGAAATTTCTGTACGAAAAATAAAGAAAAATCTGAAAAAATTCTGTAAGAAATTCTTCACATAGCAGCATTATTTTCATTGCTTTGCCGATTTCCTTCCGAAATTTCGTAAAAGAATCCAAGTGTGCACAGTTTATTTTTATCTAAGAAAATTGGGCAAAACATCGCATGAGATCTTTACGAATTGTCTAAAATTTCTCTGAAAGGATATTTTGCAGGGTACATATACATATATGAAACATATACATATATATATGTACTGATATATCAGTTCTTTATTCATTTGCACATATATCGCACAGCAAAAAATAGTGTTAATTGAATTCTCAGTAAAATTAATGCTTGGAGTTAATGGCCGTTCCGATAATTTAAATTTTTAATTAAACTAAATCCCAAACAGTGTGATGAATGAAAAAAAGAACACAAAAACACATACAAATTTTCTTTATATGGGTGTTAAATCGACAGTGCATAATTGTGTATGTATGTATAGGTAAAATATATACATACATACATACGTTCGTATGTATTTACAAAAATCTTGAGTAAAAATAGCATCCGTCGCGTGCCATATTTATTTTTATATAGGTATGTACATAAAAAGATCTGCTCATTTTTATTAGATTGTTTTAGTACCTACTTCTAAATATGATCTTATACTTAGTATGTATTTAAGTAAATACTTGTATAAATATCTACCACAAATTAATGCCACATATCATTCTTAAAAAGAACCCCGTCGTTCTTTTTCATTTGAAAGGCCAAATATTTTATAGATAATCAAAAGACTTTTATCTATTTAGTATGTATTTAAATAATAGACGTCATGGTAACATACATACGTTTTTGCTAACAATTTTTGTACCCAAGGGCGGATTATGCGCAAATTTAAATGACGTATTTTTAAATAAAGTGATCAATTGTCGTCATTGTTCCGTTCCCTTACATTATTCTTTAGTAATACTATATCCACCTTTAGTCTTTACCATCAACTAGCATTAATATCTGGTATCGAAAGTGTCAAAAACTTTTCTGATTTTTTTTTCTAAATCAAAGCGTGCCATCTGAAATACAAAAAAAAAAAAAATAAGATAAAATTGAAACTGGAAAATAATTGTTGCAACTTTCTTTCTTAATAAATTTATTTGCTTCTCGAAGCATTGATCCATGCTTTGCAAGGCCGAATAATCAGCGGGCTGAGTTGTGCGAAGGTTCCAAAAGCTGGTATTCAATCGCTCGTTTTTTATGAAAAATGATTTTACATGCAAATAGATTTTAACAATTTAGA